GAAAATGCCTCCAGAATAAATTCACTGACAGTTTGTATGCCTAAAACGTGTGGCATAAACCAAAAACTATTATGAGGGCCAAATAAGACCTGAGCCGCCTGTCAACTTTATGTGTGGGTCTTCTTGAATATCACCAAATCAGATTATGGACTTTTTGTTTGGGAAAGTAGCTGTGATAGAGTAATGAGGGAGGAGTATTTCACATTTTTGATCTGAGGAACTTTTAAAAATAGTTTTTTCTTTCTGAAACTGAGAAAAATGCAGACTGAAAAGTAACACAACTGGGTGAGGACTAAGAATGATTTGCAAGTGTCAAGACATATCCTTCCATCTGGTATTTCCACTTGATTTGTTTTTAGTCACTGCTAACAAGCAATACATAAGAATCAAAATAATCAGATGAGTTTTCATCTCAATGCTCCTAGAAATAGGACATTCCTTCCTGGTTATTCTTTCCCCACAAATAGTGATACAGCTTTGGGGTTGTGTTTATTTCCTTTGAAATACTTAATTATTGAGAACTTAATTTCTCATTTACTTTTGGAAAAAAATACCGAAAGAAGAGTTACGTTCTAGATTAATAAAACAGATAGAAACCTGCAGCTCTTGCAGCTGTATTCCATTCTATTCAACAGGTATAATGTGTGTTTTTAAGAGGGTAGTACATTCATTAGGGCAGTGAATAAGAATGTTTGCTGTATCCCTGTAAGCCTGGCAGCTCCCTCCCTCTTGTCAGCTCTTTATTCTGTTCTCTCTGTCACTCTTAATCCCCTGTCCTGCCTACTAAATTGCAGCTTCCTCCATTAATCCACCTGCTCTGCAACGCTCTCAATTTTTTCTGAAAGGCTTTAGGGAAAATCCAAGTATCACACATATTACTCCCACTGCTAATTCAGGTTCTTCTCCTTTAATACTGTTACCTGCATCAGAAACGTGTGTGATTTCTCTTTCTTCTTTGAAGTATTTATCTATTTCCCAGGGTTATCAGTCCTCTGCTTTGGTCACGGTCTCTTGCACTCGGTTACCTGTTTGCTAGCTCCTGTCAGACTCCTTCAGGTGAAGCAACTAGCTCTAGGATGCCCTCCGTAACATCATGCCATTCATGCTCCTTTCCCTCTGGCCTTTCCTCTTCCTTTCCCGGAGGCTGATTTTCAATTTTCATTTATGTCTTTTACCCTCTTCTCTCCTCTTTTCTGCACCAGCTCACACACTGAGCAGGTGCTCAAGCATGTCCGGCAGTCTCCCCTTCACAAAAGTCAGCATTTAACAGGAGCTGTGGAAGGTGTTAACCTTCCAGCCTCTGCTTCACCTCTGTGTCAAGTTGTCTTCTCTTGGGTGCCTGCACTGGGTCGTTGCCAGTCCCTAGGTCCTGCGGTCCTCCTCCATCCAGACCAAAGCAGAGGCCGGAGCGCAGGCACGGAGGCCCCAGTGAAGCGGAGGGGCTGTGTGCTCACTCTCTTTTTGCCAGTAATTAACCATAACTTCCCTTTCCGAACCTTGCGTTAGGGCCTGACAGCCTACTGCCTGCCTCACCTGCTGCCTCTTGAGTTAACTTAAATAGTCTGGTGGGGAGAACATTTGCTCTTGGGCATCCTGGAAGAGAGTGACAGTTTCCTTAAGTTACTGAAGAGCAGTCAGCACACAGCTGGGGAGCGTTACGCTTCTCAGAGGAGAACCGACAAACAGGAGTTGATTCGGCAGCCTGTGATTTCTGTCTGTCATTCCTTCCCCTGTACAGCATGCCAGCAAGGGGTGTATCTTTCCCCTCCACTAACTGGAATGTAGTAACACCAGTGATGAGGTAATGTCTGCTGAACTGGTAGTGGTCTAGTTCATGGGCTGGGGAAAGAGGGAGAATCACCTGCTTGACTAATGTCCAAGACCTCTGTCTTCTCCTGCAGCATGAACCCTCTGTGTGTTTCCTCCACTTCTGTTATGGGGGATCCAGTAACGGGGAGAATTGCTTGTGAGTTTAGTCAGTGGTGCTTGTCATTTTCATACCATTTTCAATAACTATTTCAGGTAGTGTGTTTAAACATCCAATACTTTTTTCTTGGAAATCAGGTACTTCATACATTTTGTAACTTTTTTACTTAGTAACTTGTTGGTAGCCACTTCGGTGGCTGCCAACCTTGCATATGCATAGACCTAGCAACCAGTTGATGGCAATGCAGTAAAGCAACCTGTGTGCAAACTATGAGTACCGCATGTTTCCTTATAGAAGTACTATGTGCATCAAACTGCTTAATGCCTTCTTCATTTTATTACAAACACTTTTAATTAAAAAGCATTTGTAATTAGAGTCTCTTTTCTGCTTTGAGCTCTTTTTTCCATCTCCTTTAATAAGAGAGAAATTCTGTATAGTCCCCCTACTAGAGTTGAAAACATTAACCATCTGTCAGCATATCTTAGTCTTTGGGTATAATTCAATAATTATCTTCAAGTGCAATTGGTGATATTACACATTTGCTGAAACACTTATGAGGGAAAGTACTTTAGGGAAATAAACCTTTCAGTGTGCGTTGTAGAATTGCAGGCAGATTTTGTGTTTTTTATTGCCTCTGAAATAATTGTGCTCTGCTTTTTTATTGCAGTACCTACTAGAAATGAAAAGCTTAATTCTGCCCCCTGAACATATTCTGAAGAGAGGGGACAGTGAAGCAATAGCATATGCTTTCTTTCATCTTCAACACTGGAAAAGAGTAGAGGGGGCACTGAATCTCTTACACTGTACATGGGAAGGCAGTAAGTAATTCTCTTTCTTACAAAGGCACTAATAAATTAGTTTTATTGAATGTAATGAGAAAATAATAGCTTTTTGTGAAGTATAGTATGTGGGAATTTTGGAGGTCAGTTATATCCTCCCCAGCATTGAAATATTTGAAATTCAAACTGAAAATACAAACTTCATTTAAATGAGAAGGGTTCTGAATAGTTGCATTGTGCTTGCTGTGTAACACTGAATAAAATTTTCCATCTTCTTTGTGACGTATTTTCTTATTCATGTATAGGGGATAATAATTTACCTTTCTCATTCCAGAGTTGTAGACATTTGTTTGTTATTATTTGAATGCTTTGATATTGGGAAATTATGAGTGTGTCTTATAAGCAGAAAAAAACCCCAAAACTCAACAACATAAAATACTGTGTTGTTTTATACTGTTCATTAATATTTAATTGGCAAACACGTGAATCCAGTGGAGGACCACTAGGTTGTATAGGGGGCTGGAACATGTGAAGCAGGAAAAGGTGCTTGGTGAGCTGGTTTTATGCAGCTTGGAAAAGACTTCTGGTAGGTGAAGGAGAGATCCAGTTGCTGTCTTCCACCACCCAGTGGAGAGATAATATGGAAGACAGAGTCAAAGTCTCAGAAGGGCACAGCGGAAAGACAGGAGGCAATAGATACAAGCTGCAGCAGGAGAAATTTCATTTAGACATAAGAAAAATATTTTCAGAATGAAAGTGGTGATGCACTGGAACAGGTTGATGGTAGATTGTGGCATCTCCATCCCTGGAGATACTCAGGGCTCAACTGGACATGGGCCAGAGCAACCAGACCTAACTTTGAAATTGGCCCTGCTTAGAGTACGGGTTTGGAGTTGTGTACTAAGCCTCTAACCTAAATTATCATATCCTGTCTTTGAGATGTGTTCTTTTCAGGTTCCAGAGAATTAAAAAGTACCTTTTAGAGTCAGCCGTTGTGGGCTTTTTTAATGCAGATTTTTCTTTCTGATTCTTTCTTGCTTGCTTGCTTTCTTGCTTCTCTACTTTCTTCTGTTCTCTTTTAGCCTCTCCGTATGTCAGTATACCACTATTTTTTCCTTCTTCCATTTGCTGTTCTCGTTTAGGTTTGTTACAAAAGATACAGTTTGACACCATGATAATTCCTATGGAAATAGACTCAATACTGCCATTGTAAAAGTGACTTACTGTCTCAGTCACTGTATTAGATCACCTGAACTTGTGTAATTTGCAATATAGGCTCTCTGAGGAAGCATTGGCTTTATTTCTAGGTGTACAGAGCACCTTGCTCAGTTATCCGTACCATTCCCACCTGGGATTTGCTCTGCTGCATTGTTCCCTGTCCTACCTACTTGCTCTTTTCCTGACATTTCTCCCAGTCTATTATTTTCTCTGTCATAGCTTCCTCCTCTGTGGCTTATTTTCAGTGGGTTGCTTTTATGTAGTGTTTCTTCTCTTACAGATGCTTGCAGAAGTCCTTTAGCCCACGGCCTTGTTATCCCATCATTATGGAGCAGTATTTTGCAGGGAATCCTGAATAGATCTTCTTTTGGTTTGTCAGGCTGGGGAGTCCCTAAAGGGGCTGTTTACAAGGACCAGCTTTTGGCACAGGACACTGACTGCCCTGCAGTCCTCCTGCCACCTGGGAAATCTAATCATCTGGGCCTGAAGGCAGCGTAGGGCATTCCCATCTAACTGCATTAACTGATTCCTCTCCTTATTACTTCCACAGCAATCTGAATATGTATTTTATTAGCTAATATTTGTATAGTAGCCTGCAAAGATGTAAATGATTATTATTGCATAACCTCTATAAAGAAAAATCCGTAATTCATTCTGTGCTGCAATTTCAGAGAGTTGAACAGTGCTCAAGAATTTTGTTCAGATTTTGCTCACGCATAAAGACTCCCATAAAAACCATGGATTTTAATGGTTTCATCAGTATCTAGTCCAATAATCATAACTTTTGGTCCATATCTCAGTCTGGGTAATATTCTTTACAGATGTAGTGAACTATTTATGTCACTCGTCTGTCCTTTACTTGCAAAAAGGTTTCCTTAGAATCTCTGTGCAATTATAAGATAAAACCAGTGGAAACATGATAGAGAAATTACATTTAATTAAATACTAGTTCTAACCAACAGTCTTCATACCGTACATGGTCAGTTGCCCTCACTTTCTTTCTAGGTATTTATGTACTTGCCATGTCTTTAAAGTGTGCTGTACTGTCGGCATGCTTAAGTAACCACAAGTCTCACTTTAGTAGCTTGTATGTAGTAATCCAATGCCCACATATATACACTATTCAGTGTTGCAGGAATTGAGCAGAATTAAGTACAGTCAGTCAGTCACTTGGGGGATGCATTTTGAATGCTTCTGAGGAGGTTAAGGTCACTGCTAATTAAGACAGCCTTTAACAAAGCTTATGCAGATATGTCTTTGTGATATATTCAACTCTGAAATTCTCAGAGTGTTTTTCCCAAACTGCATTCAACAATCGAGAAAAGTGAGGTGATAAAAATAATGAATATCATCGAACTGGAGTATTGGTAGTTTCCTGCTCTGTCTTCATTCTATCAGTCAAAGTACAGTTTTACTCCTGGGACAACTGAAAAAGCCCAAATGACACCATGTGAAACGTTGCTCTGCTTTTGATCCCAGTGTTCTGTACAGAACGTCTATAGTTTCAAGAGTAACCAAATTTCAAGAGGCTGAGGTGCTTGTTTGTCACTGGCTTCTAAACTTGTGTCATGTTTCCTATTGTTTGTGTGAAGAAGAAAAACCTAGGGGTTCTCAAATGCTACCGTGGCTTTTACGATGAGCACACGGTTGAATAGCAAACTGCCTCTGTGCTGCCTGAATTGATTAATGTAAAATAAGATCAGATAATACTGTAAGAGTCAGGCAGAGAAGTACTTCTGTAAACACAGCTGATACAGATGAACGAGAGCACTTTCTTCCATGGCTGATAACATTGCTAAACAAACTGTTTTGCTGTAAATATTCCATATTTGGTCTCATGTCAAAGATGACTGCTTAAATTCAAGCAAAATCTATACAGATATTTTTTGCTTGTTTTCTAAAAGCAGTATCTTTACTGCCCCTTTTTATTTTTATTAGAACCTTAATACTACTGTGATTCAGGGTAAGGCAGTAGAGGCATGACTGTCTGCTTAAATATTAAGCCAAATTTGAAGGAAAAATTTATGTTGGTGATGTTGAAGTGATGAGCATTGAACGTCCCTCCACATATGTTGTTGTACAGATGCTCAAGTTTGCTGCCTGTGAAGATCATACAAGGCTTGGTTTATTGTATTTGTACTTGACTTTTTGGGGTGTTGTGGAGAGGGGGGATTTAATAATGAAAGAATGTTACAGCCCAGGTTGGTTTACAACCTTTGAGGGTTTCTGCCTTCTTTACTATTGCTTTAAGCATAGTAATCAAGAATAAATACACTCATATAATTGCACAAAAAATACAGCTGACATTATTTCAAATGCAGTGTGCGCAACTGAAAATATTGGGGTATTGTGTATTTTAAACCAATTCCTTGGTTGCCTTGTGAGCAAGAGATAATGGAGTGTTATTGTGTGGCAGTAGGCTGTGCCTAACATCTAAAATATACAGTGCTTCTAGGACATCTGTTGAGGAAAATATTGCTTCAGTGACTGATGTTCATAGGAGTAGTGAGAATAACACGTTGATGACATTTTAACAGTGAGAATAATATATAGGATAATGGAAAAGGATGCCTTGATTGCAAAGCTGTAATTCAGTCAAGTATTCTGATGTTTCCATAAGCCACACTCAGATGGCCTGTGACATCATCACCATCCAGATTTAGTAATCCATTTCCCTCCCTCTCTGTTACTATTTTCAATTTAAAAAATGCATAAGATTAAGTATTAAGTAATACATGACCTGAAGATTTATATTGGAAACCTGACTTGATCTACTACATTTAAAAAGAATGCATGTGAGGAACCTGGTTTTAATAATTCAGTATTAATCTTTGATTGCCAGATATAAAATGAAAACATTGGCTGTGTTGGTTAAAACTGGTTCTCTGGGCTTGAGTCATCAGTGTTACTTGGTCTGTGGGAGCGTGATGGGAAAAAAGTAGCGTATTTTTTTCCATGAAAAAATTCTATTATGCTTGATGCACAGAGATTGTGAGTATTGGCCTGAATTCACAAGCTTGGCTGGTCATTTTTGTAGGCTATACTTGTTACATGAGATACACTTCTTTCCCCTGAGATTTAAAAATTCTGCAGTCTAAAAGCCTAAGACAAATGTGTAAATTTGGCTATTTTCTCATCCCAAATCCAAAACATAGCTTCACACTAGGTTCTCTGCAGAAAATTAACTCTATCCCAGCTGAAACCAGGACATATGTACAGTGGGCTCTGATCATGCAAACATTCATGTATGTACTTGTAATGTTGTATCGCTTGATGCCCATGAACCTTCTCCCAAGAATAAACATAAGTGTTTGCAGGATTAAAAGCTAAGTGTAGGTTTATATTTTGGCATTTCCTTGAGCAATTTATATGCTGTTTGCAAGCAAATATTAATGTTATATTTTGTCTGTTTTTCAAAATTGTAAATATAGTTAAGTATGCCCAGTGACTGCCACGCTCGCAGTAACTTGTGCATGGTGTTGTTTTCTTTTCAGCTTTCAGAATGATCCCCTATCCACTGGAAAAAGGACATCTTTTCTACCCTTACCCAATTTGTACAGAAACCGCAGATAGAGAACTACTACCATGTACGTTCAACTTATCTCTTCTTACTGTTAACATCAAAGAATCGTTTGCCTGAGTCTCACAGCACTGCTCTCCATTGATGCCTTTTAAAATGGATACACTGGATTAGAATCATCGGGTTGACAGTGTCTCTGGAGCTTCCTTGATGGTTTAAGAGGCAGCTCCTAGCCATAGTTCATAACAATTAGCTATATCTTTATTGTTGTTGACGATGTAGGGACATGGAGAGAGATTACTGAAGAGGTATAAATCAGTTAGATCTTGCTGTTCTTTCTTGCCAAGACACTGGAAAATATGTCTGGTCTTTTTTCTCAGGTAACATCCCATCAAACAAAAAGCACAGTGGCACAGCCTTGTTAGTCTTTTGCAGACACAGTAGCTACTTAAATTCCAAGGCAAGATCAAATCTGCTTGAGGACAGCTGGATCATTAGTGCAGCTGTTACTCTGACAGGTTATGCTGACGTTTTCTGAAAAGCAGTCTTAAATAGCAAGAAAGGGTTTTCTTTGTGTAATCGTTTATGTGTTGTTATGAAGAGATTGATATGAAATTACCTCAGTCATTTATTATATATGTTTATTGCATGCATTAGCAAAGTGCCAACAGCGTTCCCAGTGCTCTGCAAGATGCAGATAGAAAGACAGATCCAGCCCTTGGGAAGAGTTACAGTCCAAGCTAATGGGACTTCTTGCAGTGCATGCAGTGAAGCACAAGAATGCAGAGGAAGAGCCAAAGCAGCCAGTCTTGCAAACAGTTATGCTTCATTCCCACATGTTTTCTTGCTGAAGTCAGTGGGACTTTGCAGGGTCAGGGCAGGGGAGGCAAATACAAGTAGATCCAAGGAAGAAGATTCTTCTCTCACCTTGTCTATCCTTGAAAAAGGAATAAAGAGAAGTTTTTTTCTGGAAAAAGTAAAACAGCCTGCTTCTGCTGTGAAGGCTGGTTTTGAGAGCATTTGCACTCTTTGTAGTCTTTCATTCAAAACTTCTCTGGTTTGGGCTGAAAAATGTGTTGCCACTTTTTATAAGCCTATATGAGTAAACATTAGGTGAGAATAATACAGGGAAAATCACTCATTGTGAGTCTCTTTTTCACAGTACTTTCTCGCTGATACTACACAGAAATCCTTGGCAACTGACAGTATCTCCCCACCCCATTATAATCACCCTAATTATAACAACACCTCTTAGAGTGCTCTGCTTGCTTTACTCAGAGGGATGCTGAGTTGGGGAGGGTGGAGTGTCAGGAGATTTAGGAATGACAAAGTCATGCAGAATAGCTCAGCGTTCTCTTTTTAGGTGCAAAACTAATCGTTCTTGTCAAATGTTAGAAGCAAGGGACACTTTAACAGCATATGCAGACAATCGTGTTCTGCTCTGGCAGTTATGAGAAATGCCTTTCACTGCAGTGTCTCTTGGGTTTGAGTAGGGAAGGGTTTAACACACTGTGACAGACACAGGTCAGTTAAAGGCGTTTGCCATACCTGTCCATACCCTTTAATTGCCTGTGTAAAGGTCAATCAGCTGGAATTGTATCAAAACACTACGATCTGATAGGCTATCCAATTTAAAAATATCAATCACAAACCTTTTGCCATGGCTGGATAACAGACCGGAACAACAAGTTTGAGCCTGTGTCAAAAGCAAGTGCAAAAAAATGAGCACAAGAAATCTTAGACTTACAAAGTCCATGATCTGCTATTTCCCGATCTCCAAGTTTAATTGAAATCAAAGAGAAGTTGCACATTATCTGTGTTTTTCTTTTTAAACTGAATTAATTAGGAGGCCCAAAAATCATACATATTTTTAGTTCATAATATTTTCATTTAACCTCTTATGAATTCCTGCGGTTGGCTTTGGAAATGACTACAGGATGTAGTAGTCATGGATGAATGCAGTCATGAATATTGTCCTGCTATGTTGCTGGATTTCCTTGTGTTTACATTTTCTGCAGGTACAATGAGATGACAGCTGGTCACTGAAGCAAAGAAAGTAGGCAAAATGGAAGAGTAATGTTTAGTGTGTATAAATAGTCATAGGATTTGAGTATATGGAAAGCCTTGAGGTTGGTCCTGTATGAGAAAAAACATTTCAAAGTTTGAATTTATCATGACTGTGGCTCCAAACTATGGACTGAATGAGTGAAGCAGAGAGAGAAGTGTCCACCAGACCTTTTGCCAACCCAGCCTAATTTTCACCTTGAATCTGAGCTACCATAAAAGTTTAAGGGATATATTCTTCCAGTATAATATTCATTATCCTCTTCTGACCCTTTTAGCCTTCTCAGTGCTGCTTTCTCCAAAGCCAAGCAAGTGATTTTTCATACCAGAGTTGAGGAAGTTTCTGTATTCCTTTTAGTGTATACTAATAAACATCTTAAAAATTCACTATTAATTTAAATTCCAGGTTTTAACGCTTTAAAAAGTTGTTGTATTGTTATAAGTATACAGAAAATTCTGAAAATCTGAATTTAAAGTACGTATTTATATGTCCTCCCTTGAGGATAACTTTTCTTGGTTCTGCAGATTAAACCCTCAGGATTTACTGTTACAAAGGCTGTAGTTTTACAGCCTGCTTAAACAGATCTACAGCTATGCTTCTGCAAGGTTGGTCTTGCTGCTGCTCCCGGGTGCATGTTTCTGCACTCTCTGTGTATCAGCATTAGCAACATGCAGCCGTGCAGCTGGTCAATGACCTGCATAAAAAACCTGGATGTTTTATTTGTAGGCTAGTTTTCTGGGGTTAGTTGTTGCACAGCTGCATTATAGTTAGTTCTGGCACAAGGAAAGCAAAAGTGACATGTACATAGGACCAGAGTAAGCCAGAAATAGGATCTTTAGATGAGGATTATTTGGCGGTGAGGTGACTGACCCAACAATAATGTTAGCCTTAGGTTTCAGACCTATGTGTTTCTTCTTTCAAAAGCATCTTTGGGTGTCTGTGGCTGTTTAAACAGTGTTGGGTTGGGTTTGAGGTTTTTTATGTATAATTTGCCTTCCCATCTTTTTTCTTAACAGCATTTCATGAAGTTTCAGTTTACCCCAAGAAAGAGCTTCCCTTCTTCATCCTCTTCACTGCTGGACTATGTTCTTTCACAGCCATGCTAGCCCTCCTGACACATCAGTTCCCAGAGCTTATGGGGGTCTTCGCAAAAGCTGTGAGTATTCTCTACTGCTGCTCTCTTCTGGTAAATAAAGACACAGATGCAGGAAGAGCTGAGCTAAATATTGCAGGGTATTAAATATCTGCATATTCACTAGTATAAATAAAACATCAAGAGGTGTCTGAGCAGGGGGACACTTGAACAACTGTGTAGGGAGCTAATCAGTAAAACACAGTACTGTCTGTCTTTTCTGGTCTATATGGCTCTTTTGTTACGCTAGATCTCTTGTGATTTTGCCAAAAAAGGCTTGGTGGGAGAAGGGAATATCTGTGTTTTCATATATAATCCAATAAAATAAATTAATACTGGTTTCCAAACCCCTCTATTTTGTATAGAGCCATAATGACTGTGCTGCGCTTTCCAGTGCAGTAGAAACTCCTAATATGAGCAGAAACAGAGTGTAGTCATAACCAGGACAAATTTCTGTGTTCTTTCCCCAAACTGCCATGAAGGAAGTAGTCTCAATATTTGCCTCATAACTTTTCTTAACTACATCGAGGGAAGTCTCTGATAATTCTGCTTTTTTAATTGACCAAGGATTAATAAATATTGGAGGATGAGGGGGAAGGGCCATCGATTATGCTAAAACACTTTTTTTTGTGTGTGTGTGTGAAACCAGGTGGTGTGCTAGGATATGAAAAATCCACGTAGAGAAAAGTTCTAGGCTATTAAAAAAAAACTGTCTCCTCCAAAAAATACTGAATATCCTCTGTTGTAATTATTTTTTCAGATATATTTATATCTCTTGTAGGTCTTGTATTTCCAAAACAGCTTCCTGGCCTTGTTTTTAATGTCTTTGGTGCTTTTGATTTGGGGGGCAGAGGGGGTGGACTGGAGGAGGCAAGGCTGAAAGGCTTTGGCAGATTCCACATTGCAAGTGCTTTCTCAAACTCCTTTGCAAATAGCAAGAGACTCCCTTTTGCAGGTGAACCAGGTCTTCTACCACCCAGGCCTGTGCGTGGTTGTAGGTTCTTTCGTCAAGAATTTTCTTTCATTAGCTCTAGAAGACACAAAATAAGATTAGCTGTAGCAAAAGATGCCACTTCTAGCAGCAAAAAGTGCTGAAACGTACCTGAAATATTACTATTTTCTCTTGCTTCTTGAGTCCATATGTAGGCATTAGGTGGACAGTAGGTGCACAATTTGGGCACATGATCTTAAACTTCGTTGTAAAGCTTTTTTTGTATTTTTTTCCTTAAGTAATTGAAATGCATGACCCTTATTTGGGGGCTCTTTCAATGTAATCTGCAGTTTTCTTGTACTGTCACAGTTAATGACCCCAAATCTGTCCCCATTAGCCTTGTTCCTGTGCTTGTCAGCCTTGTATTCTATCTGAAGCTAGTGGTATGATGAGATTTTGCGCTTATTGCTCCTGCTACAGGCAGTGAGCTACTGGAATTGGAGAAAATTGGTAGCATGTTTGCATGGGCTTAACTCATTAGACAGAGATATCAGAAGTTGCCTTGGTAGTGTGTTAGTAATTGGTTCTCCATGGTTTGGAGCATGCAGGTTCCAAAGCCATTTGGGGAGTAGAATCAGACTAGAAGGGTCTATTTCCCTGATGTGTCAGTGCAGCTGCCACTGATGTTAATAGATACCCCAAGACTCTGTACACAGTTATTAAGTTCTGCGTATCAGAGCAGGCAAAGCTCCTAGTTAATAAAATAAGCACAGACAAATAGAACTGAAATGTGGGCTGTGTTAATGTGCATAAAAATCAGCAAGATCACTCAAGATCTCTGAAGCTGTATGGATGCGGGTGGTATGTCAGTTAACATGCATTGTGACTTGTTTTAGCTGTATCTTAATCTTCAAAAACCACCACACGCAGCACTTGCGTTTTTCTTGTACATGGGAAGGGCAGAATTCAAGCCCATGGCCATTGATCTAGTGGCTCGTAGAAAGGCTTTGATTCAGAAGGCGCATTTTGTTGTCTCCCCTGGGAAAAGTAGCCAAGGTGTATGAGACTAAAGGAAATCATGGCAGACATCTCTTTGAAATGCAGCTGTATCAGAACAGAGGTTGGCCAGCCCTAGGTCTTCCCTTTCAGTTTTAGGGAAGATTGTTTCATAAATAACTAATTTCATAAATAGCTAAAAGATGAATATGCTGACTGTTGCTGTGGTTATGTGCATTGAATTACCTATTCCTATATGGCTGGTACTCATTGTGTTGTGGTATATTACATTGTGAAACTGTGCACATATACTTTAATTTTAATAGGTCAGAATTATTCCTTCTCTTATGCCTGCCAATCCCAAAAGCATTGCACAGATGTAATATCGCCGTCATGGACCAGGCTTATGTTATTGCAAGTTGACATTTACCGTATTTCACAAAAACTGAACAAATTAACATGATTGGGTGTTGGGAACTAGCTTTGACCTGTCCTTCAGGTAGCATCATCTTGCACCTTTTCCATAGCCCATTAACCCAGACAGTAGGTTCTTCAAGGCAGAAAAAGCACTTGAGTTCCAAGGACCTCCTCCACGTGTGAGACTGCCAAAGGTAGCCTATGCCACTATGACAGTCCCCTAGGGCAGAAGTCAAAGGTATTTTAAAGCTATTTTTCTCTTCTGGGAAGTTCAACATAGGATGGAATTCACCAAACTCCATCCGTGCATGCATGTTTTAGGGCCAGAACCTGCTCTGAAAGCTGCCTGTCAGTTCAGCTGCAAGTTTGGATATTCCCAACTGCATCCAACCAATTCTGTAAAGTTGTACCTGGAAGTAAGCTTGGCTCTTCCCATAATGAAATTGGAATAATCCAGTTCTTCTTTGATTGTGTTGTCAGGCTGAGTATCAGTAACTTTAAAATGACAGTAGATATTAGCATTTTCACTAGGTTAGGAAGAAGTGGGTTCACAGCTTGTGGTTTTAATTTTTGCAAGGCTTTCTAACAAAAGTCTTTGGAGGCCGCTTAAGATACAAATACAAGCATTAAGAAATTTGTGATTGCATGGCTTCGATAAAATTGTCAGCACAGTGTAGGTATTATTAAATTTATCTCATTGTCATGCAGAAATAATAAAAATATCTGGGAAATCGTTAAAAATATGTAAGTACAGGTCCTTTCATGACACAGTAGCAATAAGAAAATATCCTGAATAAAATTGGGAGTTGTATTAACAAGGGAGTCGCTGTATAATTTGTCAACAGTCGTGTCTAAACGTGTAGTGCCTAGTTAAATTTTTTAAATGAGTGAAACTTCAGAAAGACTTATTTTTTCTCTGATTTGATTCCTTTGTTTGCCTGAGGTCACTGACATGGTCTATTTCACTATTTCCTGTATGATGGATGAGAGCTCAGTTCAGCAAGCAGGTTTGCCTAGCGAGATACTTCATCTGCTTGGACCTCTGTAGACAGTGAGGCAGGGAATACATAGATCAGATCACAGAGACTGAGCAATAAATAGTCAGTTCTTCCATGCAAACACCAGCCACGCAGTGGCAAAACTTAAAAAGATACTTTTGCATATCTGTTTTAATCAAATGGTGGTATTCAGAAGGTGGTCCCAGAAAGCTGCTTTCTGCCAGCTTTAAAATAGCCAGGTTGGTAGTTTTCTTTTAAAATAGAGAATAGTAATAGCAAACTTTTTACAGGTCTCCCATCACCAGTTCTCTGCCACCTTGAATTCTTACTCAACTGCTGGTGCTGTTTCTTCTGTTACGTGTGGATAAAACCAGTGTCAAGAGGAAAGGCAAAAAAAATAAACAAAACAAAACAACCATATCATGCAGACTAAGCCCTCTTGGGTGTTATGTTTGCCATGTGGCAAACAAGCTGGATAGGCATATGCCAGTGGTGTCTGAGGACAGGAGCACCAGGAGCTTTCCAAGAGCCAGACAGCCCCAGCACAGATGTTGTTTACATGGGTTTGTACAAGAGAGTAGGTGGCATCCTGAACCTCTCGCTGTCAGCAAAGGTTTTGTTTGGACTTCAGTGAAGCTAGGCTTTGGTATCCATGAATTTAAATGTATTTTGTAGACCAACTGATTTTACAGGTGGAGAAAAACGGCTCGTTTTAAGCTACAGAACTTCGCTGAGTTTGTTATAAGATACAGTCGACTACTTCAGCAACAAAATTCCTGTGAATTGCAGTAAAAGTTACTGTCAGGCAAATTATTCTTGTTTCATTGATTTAACAAGTGTTAATTTGCACTGGTTAGAAAGCTGAGTTTTACCTAAGTAGATGTGATGGTGCAAGCTTACCACATAGATCGAGCACTACTCAAAGAGCAAAAAATAATCCTCTAGTAAGCCTTCTGCATTTGGCAAAATTAAATGGAAATATTTATTTAAACAGTTCACAGCTTAATCAGAGGGAATGCTTCTACTTAGGCTAAGCCACTTGAAATAGTAATAGCAAACTCTTAAGATTAGGTAAGTCAGTGTTACATTAATTCAGCTGCGATTCACGTTACACGGGTTGACCTTTAGCACTACAGCTGAAACTCTGTTCAGCTTCAGTTAGAACAAGTTTTTTCTTTGACTTGTGCTTCTGACAAAAATCTCATTACCGTTATGATGGTCTTACCTGGTTTCCCCATGATGCACAACTTGTCCATGATATGGTGGCTGTATTGTATGCAAACATGTCCAAGAGGAGAAAAAGAATTTGAATGTTTACTATTGCCTTTAAAATGCATAAGCATCATAAACATCATACTTTTTTACAGTTAAACTCTGCACAGAGCCCATTTTGGTAAACAGTAAAACTGTTGGCAGATATTTTCTTGCTTGATACCATGAAATGGTTATAATCTCTGGCTGTTGGATATTACCATTTTGAAATGATTTAAATAGATTTGCCATATATAGCTGTGTTTCAGCAGCACACAGACCTCTAACAATTTTTGAAAGTGCATTTTTCATACTTACCTTTAGATACTTAGGAGCATAAGTTAGAGACCAAGGACATATCTGTATTAAATAATAAAATACTGTTCATTCTGCAGCTCCAAAGGCAAATGACACATCACAGCTCACATCTGTAGCCCTAAACTCTCTTCCCTTCAAAGGCAGGATGGCCCCCTCCTCGCTGGCTGCTGGGGACTGTCCCTGCCCTGTGCTATCCCCAAACTCTGCCTGGGCTTTGTTGAGGAGAGACTAACTGGCAGGGGCCAGAACTGTGTCAGGAGCTGTGCCAGCAGTTCAGGAGTGTGGCTGGGTTAGGCCAGCACCCTGCACTGCGCCGCAGTCCTCCTGGCTTTGCGGGAGAAGACAAAGCCTGACCACTGCAGCTTCCTCTGCAGCTGGGGATAGAGAGGGAAGAGACAATTTCCAAAGGCAGTTCTGGTCCTGGGATGAGTAGAATTATGCTCTGGAAGTGCTTAGTTCTCTTCAGTGACTACAGGGGGACCAGAACCCCTCATCTACATCTTTTAAGTGCCTAAAGATACATGGAACAAATTCAGAACAGGAGAAGGGATGCAAGTCTGTTAATACAAAAAGTCTGATGCTCTCTTTTGTCAGGAGAGAGAGTTCTTTCTTTTGGGCAAAAAGAGAACCCATCCAGCACCAGATTTGCTAAAGCAAAATACTGACCTACCAAGCAGACACATCAGTGCAGTAAGCAGAGTTCATATATTTTGTGCTGACTGCAGAGCAGTAACTGAAACACAAACCTCTTGCAGCTCTTTGCCGATCAGAACTGTGTATTTTTAGCAAAGTCACATCAGCTTAAATGGTTGGAAGCCACTGTGCTCTTTCATACATGTATAGGGCCCCCATGTATCTGTATGTAATGTGTACAGTTGAATTGCAATTAATATAAAGCACAGTTAATACATATTTCCCAAAATTTTGGGAGTGCTTTGAGTACCTGAGTTCTGAGATGTTCTGAGGTAGATGGCAGTGGTTTTTTCCTGTGATAAAATGGTCTCTGTTGGCTTGACTTTTGTGACATATGCCTGTCCTAACATTAACATATTGAAAGCTCTTTCAACATTGCTGACTGTGTTCTGTAAAAGAGGGAGGAGGTTAAGATAAATTCCAGTCAGTGATGCCTCAATGTATATAGCAGAATCTATAGATAACCCAGAACCATTTTGACCCTGAATCTAAAGACACGCTTTTTGTCTCTGAGAGGTGGTCTGATAGATTCTGCCGTTACGAAAAAGCTCCTTCCCTTCAGTAGGTTTTGGTTTGAGCTTTTAGTGGCTTCAGTATGAGCCTGAATCTGGGATGTGAGATGTGTGAAAACTTTTGTAGTTCATCACTTTAATCTTCATAAAAATGGGGCTTTCACTTTCTTTACTGCAAAATCCAGAAATCTGTATATATGCAAGGCTCAGGATTTGGCAGAAAGTCTTTATACGTGAGTTATATAATTTTTATCATGCTGGAGGATCTTACAGAGGAACGTGGCAAGAGTTTTGTTTCTTACTGGACAGCTTTCTCTTGAGGGTGTATTTTATCCTGGATTTTGATCTGAATATGTATCTGATTTCTTTGCAGTTTCTCAGCACCCTCTTTGCCCCTTTAAATTTTGTGATGGAAAAAGTAGAAAGTATCCTGCCCTCCAGTCTGTGGCACCAGCTGACAAGGATCTGAGGGAGCACGCCTGCTGACTGACTGCCGTGACATCTTCTGTGCCAACTTTTTGTTGACCACAAGAAAGCATGATAAAAAAGGGAAGCAGTTCTAAGACTTAAAAACTCTTCATGGATTGTCTGTTCTCATATAAAAACTGTTTTGTTGTACAAAATACATTGATGTTAGGTTCTATTATATTTTGCCTTCAGAAAAGAAAAAATTAAAAATAAACTTTTGTGTATTGCAGCATTGCTGTCTTTTGGCTTCTTCTTCAAAGCTCGGATTGTACTTTGTGTTCTTAAACATGTGTGGTGTATCTGCTTCACCACAGCCAGGGCTTGGCTTTCCGTTCAGTTAATGAAAAAACACTAATAACTTAACAATTAAGCAACAGTATCACTGCCTTTTCTTACAGAGTTCAGTTAGGGTGAAGCCCTTACTGCTAGAGACAGTCTAGACGAGGCTTCTGGACACTTAAAGCAGCTTTAGGCTCTCCAGGCAGTATGGATAGCACATTTGGCTTCTGATTCCCATCCTTGTGCAGAGGTCAGTTTTAGCCTCATTTGAATTTGCAAAAAGTCCATGTACTTTACAGATTTTCTTCACACCACTGTTACTTCAGGTACCTCCAGAAACTCCATGCTTTGTTCTCTGTCCAGAAAGCAAAGCATAAATAATGGCAGAGAACTGACGACAAATTTACTTGTAGTGAGTGATCGTTGCGTTCATGCTCTTACACATTTCTTGCTGAATTTCTGTTGCATTACTAGAGCTTTTCGAGTATGAAAAAAACTTTTCCCTGTACAGATTAAACATCAGTGTTATAAACTGTTGCTTGAGACCAGAAGCTCATTTGCAAAATTGGTGTTAGTTCATGCACAATTAATAGAGAGGTTGGTGTTTCGTCATTAGTGCTTACCTCAGGAAATCTTAACCCAGAGCTGTGAGAGGTTTAGTCAAAGTATTCACTTATAACTTAGGCACTGTAGATGGAAGCTTCCCACAGACACCTCTGCTAATGCACGAGGCCAGCTCTAAGATCAAGAATTTGATTTGGAAGTTGAAGCAAATAGTCCTCTCTCTGTCAAGAATTTAATTTGCATCCTTGCAGATGCCTCAAGGGTATTTCTTTTTTCCCTCAGCTTCTCTCCCAGGTAAGGAAGCGTAAACCCGATGCAGTGGATCAAAAACGCCGCTTTTCCAGTTCAACTTTGCTGTTCTTCTAAAAATTCTAAACAGCTTAAGGGACTGTGATCACCAGCAGATAAGTTTGTCTATCAATGAGGAAATGAGTGAGCAAAGTCAAAACTGCTGTTAGCAGAGTTGCTATAAAAGGAAAGTGTTTCTCAACAGCAGGAGATGCGTTATGTTCTTTTTTGCCCTCTTGATCACAGATATGCTAGTCTACATAGAAGAAAGATTTTTGTCCAAGTAAGCACTGGTACAGCATTAAAGCAAACTGAGGAAAAAAGGCAACCCCACAGCAGGAGAAATCAACTGAAAGAATGAGACCTGAGGGAGGACATGGAAGATCAGAGAGCCCCGTGGCTAAGTGTTAAAACTGGTGAGGTGTGTCGCTGTCGGGGATTTCCATACAGGTTTTTCATCTCTGGCCATTATTCCTGCAAAACAATTCACTGTAATGTTGAAATTAGTTCGGCTCGCATTTAATGTGGGATGTGGCGTAAGATTAGAGGTAGTGGATTGCTAGCGTGGGGAAGTGTGAAACGGGCTGGTGTTTGTGTTCTTGGCTTTGCATCTGAATTGCTACAACAGCCACAGAGAACACTTTTCCAGCAGGTGCTCCTGCCTATCTCTGGCTGTAGAACGATGGATAATTATAGGTGTTTGTTTGCCTCACAACGGCGCTGTCAGAATTATTTAAGGTGGATGAAAATCAGAAGGTTCAGGCATACTCAGCTCTTGCTGTCCTGTGCTGGTTTGTGTTGCTTATTCCCAGCCACCTCAAAAACCTTCATTTATAAATGAAGTTTATAAACTTTATAAAGTTCATTTATAGGTACCCTACATTCCAGAAGAACAAATTGCTGTGATTAACAGTCCTAATACATAAATATGTTTGCCTATCAGTGTATTTCTAGCTATATACAAATGTCCGTGTTTGCCAGCAGCTAAGGTACTAGTTTGGCCGTGTGTTAGAAGCAGCGATAATGTGAATTATGATCTGTGGGGGAATCACTATCTGTAATAATCTGATAAAAAGGAGTGCTTAACTCCTAGAAGAATCAGATCCTTGATTTGAACTATGGGGAACTTTTAGGAACTCAAAAGTATCTGTATACAATTCTATTATTTCTACTGTTTCTAGTAACCATCTCCTTCATAAGCTGTAATGAGCCATGGATCTTATCTAGAAGATATTTCTTTAGCTTTAATTATAATTCTAGGCATCTGGGAGACCAGGCAAATCAGACAAAAGGATTTTCTTTTTCAGCAGGCAGAGTTTGTTGCCTTAGGCTTTTCTGCCTCTGACATATTTCCTGTGAAGTTCAGCGTGGCTTAGATCAAAAGGCGAACACAGCCCACGATTATAACGATGGAAAGCCTCTGGCTTAGTGCAGAGATGAGCCTTCTGGAAGTCGGATTCAGATAATAACTTGTCCAAATCTTCAGTTTGCAGATTTTTTTTTTGGGGGGGGTGGTGCTTTTAAGCTCCAAATGTTCACAGTTCCCCCTTTTTTTTTTGTAAAGACAACCTAGTACAGTTTGGATGCATGCTATCTCTTTACGCTGCAACCTGCGTAGAACAAAGGAGAGACAGACCCCCAGGAGTGTCAGGTAAGTCAAGCTGGCCACCTTCTGGCCCTCCCACCGGTTAGATGTACAGCTGCTCCAAGCCAGAGCCCTACCCGGAGAGGTGAGTGCTGCACCTAGGGGAAGGCTGCTGTTTTCTCTGGTTGTAAATCATTTCCTGTCATTTGGCGTGAACGTCGAATAAACAGACTTTTCAGTGGGATAGCAAAGAAGTCCTTACCCCAGGAGAAACAAGGAAAAACATCAGTTTTCCTATGTTGCAGAAGCCTACAAGAAGGTAAACACCTGAAGGAAGCTGCACCTCCCCCTTACACAACGCATCCCCCCCTTCACACTGGGGCTGTCACTTGAAAGCTCAGCGGCTCAGTTTAAGGCAGTGTGGGCGAGGTAGCCCCCAGCTCAGGGCAGAGAGGCACTGCCGGAACAACGGAGGGGGAGCAGTCCATATAGTGCTTCGTATACGTTTGCTTCTTCCATGCAATTAGCAGCAGAAAAGGGAAGATGAAGCCATATCCATTTGAGCTGTTACACACCAAAATAAAAGACATGTTTTCCGACTACAGCCCAGGAGCTGCTGCTGTCTTTCAGATCAGAATCCAAGTTCATGCGTGTCATTTGGAGTGGCAGGAGAAACCTGCAGGCTCTTGTCCGTCACCACAAAACCGCCTCTGCCCCCAGAGGTGCCCATCACCTGTATGTAGCCCTTCCTAAGAGCATGGGGCGAAACCCACGGGGACGAGCAACCGTTGGTACGTTCCGTGCTGCCACGCTGGATGAAGAGCTGTTTTTTCCCGGTGAAAGCACCCTCCCCAGCCCAAGAGCGCCGAGTCCCGCGAGAAGCTGGGCACGAAGCCTGCGGGCAGGGGCTGCCGGCTGCCTGCTGAGCACAGCGGGGATTTGGGCGCCCGGGCTGGGTGCCCTTCAGCAGCTGTGCAGCACAGTACCAGAACTGCGGTGCTTTATTCCTCATTCACATCAGCAAAGATGCTGATACAGGAGTGGGAGGTGAGGGTGAGATGCAGAAATTGGGTTTGGATGTTTTTGCAGAGGGGGAAAGCAAAAAAAGCGTAACAATCTCTCGAGCTGCAATACCCACAGCCTGCAACACACACCACTATTCCTAAAAGTCATTCCCCATTTTCCATGCGGTAAAAGAACATTATACTTTTTGGTGATATTTCTCCTCCTAAAACAGCTCAACACGCTTTTTAGGGTTAAAGTTGTTAAAAAAGAAAATAGTGGGGAGGGAGCAATCCCAAAATCTTGGCAGGCTAACAGCATTTCAGAGCGCTGCTAGATTCTGATTTCATGCAGCAAAAGTAAAGGGAACTCCCTCAAGAAAATTGGACTGCATATTTAAAAAAAACCACAACCCGACAACCTTTTGCCTCATCTAATATTATTCTGACACTGAAGTGTCTACCTAGGGACAGCTGTTTCCTCTCCATGACTAAACACATGAATAAATTTATTCCATAGAACAAAGTACAGGATTATTTCATTTGCCTTGCCTGATTTCTGTCTCTTCTGAGGGTTTTTTCCCCTTTTTTGTCTTTAATTAGCTGAAGGTTGAGGAGGTGCCTTTCCTAGCAATATTTAATCCTCTGAGCATTTTTTCCCACTAAGAAAAAGCAAAAGCTCTCAGGAGTGCTTTTTTCATGGAAGAAAGAAGCTTACAGCTGTAAGAAGCCTACCTTGAGCTCTTAAAAAAAAAAATCATAAATAAAGCAAAAAATGCAATCAAATAATCGGCCAGCTCCGCTGTTACACATTTGTTGTGCTGCAAGATAATCTGCTTTCCCTCTGGTGAAGCAGGCTTGGTGGGGGGATTGCATTGCAGCTCATTGTGCGGAATATAAAATTCAGGCTGCTGCGCGTGCCTCTGGCGGGCTCGCTGCTGCGCGGGGCAGGGGGTCTCCATCCCCTACTGGATATGGCGGGG